ACATGTAAGCATTTGGTGGATTGTAATTTGTTATCAGCATCATGATAGAACTGAAAAGTGTCATGTCTATTGCATGTATCAAACTTAATCTAAAGTCATATCCATGCCTTTATTTTTTGGAAGAAAAGCTAAAATGTAAGTTGCTGCCAAATGTTAAATCAGAGTAAGCTACAAATAATATTTGGCTTATCAAAGTGATTTGCCAGAATTCAAATACAGTAACTATAAATTTCAGGAATTCACTGATGAAACCATTAATTATAAAAAGATTACAGATATTTACAAAAATAAAATTAGGTGCACACAAAAAGTGTAGGAGCACTCCAAATTATAATCTGGAAGCAGTAGAAACTAACATTCAAAATACTGCCGAAAACACTTGAAGGAAAGACAGAGCGTCAAAGACTTGTCAGGTCAGAATTGGACCAAATCCTCACAGGACCAAATAAATGGTCCTAACGCCCACAGAAATTTTAAGAGAACTCCAGAGCACAAACTGGCCCTGCAAAAATTTCAAGAATCTTCAAAAACAGAGGATGCCTAAAATAAAACTAGAATCCACAGAATACCTGGTGTGTATCTAGAGAGCTCACATAAACATTGAAAGAACCAGAGAGATAAATGGTGAGAGTGTCCACCGAAAATTCAAGAACACTCTCTAACAGAATGTAGTAATGGAACAAAATCTAACAGACATCAGGAGATTGCTGTGAGAGACTAAGATAAAACTAGAACTCATGGAAGATCTGGCAGCTGTAGGAGTGTTCTCAAATACAATGACAGGAAAGAGAACAAATAAATGGTGATACTATACCTAGACAGGGAACATTTCAAAACAAACCAAAACTGGCCAAAAAAAAAAAAAAAAAAAGCCCACAATATCAGATGATGTTGGGAGCAGGTAAGGAAAATACAGTCAGGAATAAGTGAGGGGATCAAAAACGTAAAAGTACCAAAGCAAACAATATAGATAACATAGTTAAAGCAGCAAGAACACCAGCTATCTCAAATGGAAATATGGAAGAATGAATACCTCATAGAAATTGTTTAAGAGAGCCACAGAAAAGACAATTTGTGGAAGACCAGTAAGAACCAAGGGACTTACAAACACTCTACAGCAAATTGCAGACCCGGGAAATAGTCAACAAGAAAGTCAGGACAGAGTGGTATTAAATCATAGCAATGAGTCACATGGAGTGGTAAGACATGTGTTTCTGAGGAAAACCTACTGGAAATTCAAAGGGTAAGAACACACACACACACACACACACAAGACTAAAACAACTTGAAGATAACAAAACAAGATATTTCACTACAATGTTAAGGAAAATAAGTTGTTCAGTAACAAGTATAAGTATTCCCATAAAAGTACAAGTCAATTTTGTAAGCAACAGTAAATAAAAATTTTATATGTATTTAAAATATTTATTTACATTTGTTTTTCTGACCTTTTTCAGTACTAGGAACTGAAGCAGTCCAGGTGTTTGCACTGAAATACATCTCGGGCCCTTTTAAAAATTGTTTAAGACAGAGTTTCACTAAGCCCCTAAAGCAAGCTTTACAAAAGGAATACTTTTCTAGTACTAACATACGGAAGAAAGGCTATCTTGCTTTTCAGTAGCTATCTGGCTGTTGAGTTATTCTTTGGTTGATAAAATACATTCCCTTAGTCTAGTCATTACTAGCTTTTCACCAATGAAAAAGCATATTGTAAACCATGAGTTCAGATGTAAACTTATGAAACAGTCTATTATTGATTGGTTTATGAGATGGTTAGATCTTGTTGCTCAAAAACAAAACTAGCATGTATTGTTTCTCTCAACCTGGAAATCTAATTTTTTTTTTACAATCAATGAAATTTTTATTAAAGTGTATGTGGAATACTGTATAAATCTGTCACATTTGTGTTTATTACATCAGTTCCAGTTCTGAATTGCTTTATTAATTCCACTTGAGAGAAACTGTATACATAAAAATACAACATTAAGGTGCTTCTCATATTGCCTTTTAAACTGCTAAGTGAGGCAATTTCCTGAATATTCCCTTTGGCCTTTACAACTGAATCTCGTTTTCCTTATATAGCACCCTTCATGCCCTTTGGCATAATTGCCAATGCCATTTTCCATGGTTAAAGCAACTCACATTTGTAAAATGTGGCAATTAATAATCTCTTAAAATTCATTTTATCTCAAGATATTTTGTTTATGATATTGGACACCTGTAACAAATTGCTTTTAAGCAACAAGGGACTCTCTCTCTCTCTCTCTCTCTCTCTCTCTCTTTCTGTTTCTCTCTCTCTCTCTCTCTCTCTCTCACACACACACACACACACACACACAACAACCTGTACACCTATTTATATACCTAGCACACAAATTTAGAAAGTCAATCCTATTTCTCATCTTTCAGATGGGTTACCATATTCAGGACCATTATTTCCCTACTCATAAGAAGTCAGTAAAAATAAAGTATTCTTGAAATGTTTCAGTATTTGAATTATTTCAATAACTGAAAATCAGGAGAAGAGGCTCTGTACTGGAGAACATAGCACTCCCATATGGGTTTGCTGAAGATATATATATATATACTCTAAAGTTAAACTCATTTTCCACATTTATCCCATTAATATTCTAAGCCATAAATTAATGTTCAGTATAGGGTTGGAAAACACTTATTTCTCAAATATATGTAGAATATTAAATGTAAGCAGAATCACCATTTTATCATGAATTCAAGTAACAGAATAATGATTTTCTATTTTAATAAACATGCAATGCTATAAAATAAGCTCTTGCTACGTAATAACCTCCAGGACAGCATCTGTAAAACTGAACACCCAGATGTTACCCTTAGTGATTTAAAAGTATTTTTACCTAAATATTCCAGCATTGTGAACACGCAGGTTAAGCAATAAAATTGAATAAAATTGTAAATTAACGCACTTTGAAGGAAAAAAAATACCCTCAGTAGAGTCAAACTAATTTCTCTAAACAATGTGAATAAAAGCTGGTGGGTTGTGCAGGAAACAATCAAAAACTTACTGCAGTTTTAAAATTTAGTAGGACTTCATTGCATGGCTGTTATAAAGTATAATTACCACCGTGTAGACATTCCAGATTTTAGGTGATGACACATTTCATAAGATACAAGGGAAAAATACTTGATCCATATAATTAGTGGATTTTATATGGGATTTTGATTATAAATTTCTGTAAGACAATGTGTCTTACATGTAAGCTTGTCTTCATATATTGGTACTTGGGTATTTAGGTTGCAGTTTCAGATACAAGTGAATTTTAAGAACTGTCTAAAACAGTGTACTCTCAATGAATAAATCATTTAAAAGAATATGGCAGCATTCCAGTGTTTGAATAGTAGGTAGTCGTATTGTTAGCCACACACAACAAAAATCTAGCATATTTGAGTCGTTAATATATTTGATTAGTCAATATAATCACATTTCATTAAGCTTGTATTCTCAACTGATAATTTCAATTGATGCTTTTGTCAATTCACAGCTTAAATTTACTTGTAAATGACGTATTTCAGTGTTACCCTATAATATCTGATGGAATTTGTGCAGAGAAAGATTTTAATCTTTTTCTGTTTTAATACACTTCAAATGATTTTTTTAAATGATAAGGTCATCAACTTTTAGAAGTTTAAAGTAAACCATTTGATTTTATTACAATTCAGACATTTAAAAATTTCTGAGAACTGTCAGACTTCAGTCAATCTTGAAAAGTTTAATCAAACCTTATTCTAGTACAAGTCAGCTATTTTAAGATTTGTGGCATTGCCAACTTCTTCAAACCATAAGAAAAAACAATGTTCTAGGTCTATCTATGAGATGCATTTGGCCAATCTTTTAATGTAATATTTACCTTTCTCCAAACAGAAACCTTTTGTTTTCCTTATTTTCCTTTCACATGAATCATAAACTATTATAACTATATGGTATTCAATGTATATACTGTACATAGACAATATGCGTATGTACACTATACACAACACAAATAGTTATATTACCTTTTACTTAAAAACACAACATAACAGTAGAACTAATGTGACACTTGCTTTTTTAAGACAGGTTGACTATAGCATATGACTGCATATCTATGGCTTAAACAAAAGTTACAAGCTCTAGTTCTTGTGTTTTGTTCCATGTTGTGGAAAGTATTCCAAATAAAAAATGGAGGAGAAAGTGTCTGATGTCATGCTTTGTGGAATGGAATATATGTATCAGTTATATTTTACATATAACTATGATATGAATGATACAATTAAGATCTAGGCTATATAATGTATACTTATAAAAAGTTATGCCACAGTACTAAAAATAAAATATACTCTCAAATGGTGAAAATAAGATATCCTTCATGTCTTTATGTCACATTTCCTGGTTTCATCATGCCTTTTTTTCACTTTTAATGAAACAGTGTCCAACATTTTGTTTAAACAATAACGACAGAATACAGGGCAATGTTCTATTAATGGCCTAAAAAAGCGATAAGACTGCTATCTTGTCATTAATTTGTTGGAATCCCCTCCAGTTACAATCAGTACATGGAAAAATATAAAAATAAAAGACAAATAAATATATAACTTCTCAGTTACTGAAAAATCATAAGTCCAACTGTACCATATTACGAACATGGTTTGTATAGAATAGTTGCAGTATCTTGGATATTACCCCTGCCCACCCTGCGCCCTGCTTAACTGTAAGCCACTGGCTGTGCATATTGGCTTGGCCAGGAAGACACCAAAGAGTTTTCTGGGCTCTCCTCAAGAAAGGGATTCTGTCACACCCAAGTGCTGCTCCATCAGACCTCCAGCAGCAGTGACCCGTGACAGTTCGGTCTCAGCTCATCCCAAGGGCTTCTGTTCTCCCTCCATCCCGGGAGACGGTGACCTGTCCTGGCCACAGGGAAACTGAACTGTGCCCCTTTCTCAACCTTAAAAAAAGCCGCCCTTCTGCCAAAGCACCAAAGGGCTCACGAGTCCTCTTGGTTCGGGGAAGCAGGCACTTACGAAAGAACACAGGAGATGGCAAGGCAAAGGGCAGAGAAGGCCTTCGAAGTTGGCGGTGCGGGCTCATTCGCTGCTGCTGCCCCAGCCGCGTGTGTCCAGCGTTTCCTTGAACCAAATGAAAAGGAAACATCAGGTCCCTGGGAAGCGCGAGGGAGGGGTGACCCCAACCCAGCTGCGGGGCGACAGCAGATTATGCTGGGGTGCCAGGTGGGGTCGAAGGCAGATGGTGGCGGCCACGGGCTCACCCTGCCTCCGGCAGCCCCGTCTCGCACCGTCCGCGCGGTCCCCGAGAACCCCCGGGCGCTCAGATGAGCGGGAAGCGGCCTTGACTGGCGTCGGGGTCCCCGGCGCCGCTTCCTCTCGGGCGGCCGAGCACCGACACCGGCAGGACGACCTCTCCGGGACTGAGCTGCTGCAGCCGCATGGACTCCTCATAGGTGGGCAGGTACTTGACCTCCTCGTAGCTGGGCAGCTGCAGGAAGACCGGCGACACCACACGCAGCTCGTGCTCCGAGGCGCAGGCGGGAGCCAGGCGTCTCCCGCCGCCACTGTCCAGCAGTGAGTCCTGCGAGCCGGCGGCCGCCTCGTCGGGCAGCAGGGCGGGCGAGTCGTCCTCGTCGTCGTCGTCGGGCGGTCCCGCGCCTGCTGGCGCCCCAGAGCCTCCGGGAGGCGAGGGTCGTGGCTGTCCGGGTCGCCCCTGACCGCGCGGGTACCTGCGTGGGTTGGGGCAGATGATGCGCTGCAGGAAGTAGCCGATGGCGAAGAGCACCAGCAGGATGAGCAGCCCCGAGAGCTTGCGGACGAACCAGCCCACGTTGTCCAGGAAGGCGTGCAGCGGCAGCTTGCAGCAGCGCATCGCCGTGGCGTTGGCCGAGTCGCAGCAGCCCTCCCGCTCGCCGCACGCCAGCTCCGCGCAGCCCCCGCCGCCCCGCGAGGGCGCCACCAGCGCAAGCGCCAGCGCCAGCAGCAGCGGCAGCACGGGCGGCGGCGCCGGCGCCAGCCACAGACCGTCGGCCGCGACCCCGGGCCCCCACATAGCCCGCGCGCAGCCCGCGAGCCTCTGAGGCGCGAGCTGAGCGGCCGCCCGTCCGCGCGTCCGCGGGCCCCTCCCCGGCGCTCCGCTCGGGCCCCCGCGCGCCGCCTCCCGCGCCCGGCTACCTGCGGCCGGAGCGGGCCTCACTCGGCCGGGGGGAGGAGCCCGGCGCGCGCCCGGGCTGCGGGGGGTGGCTGCTCGCCCCGGCCGGGGCAGCCTCCGGGGCGTCCGACCTTAGCCCGGCGGGCCCGCGCGCAGGCCTGTCGCGGGGCATCCGGAGCCGCCCAGAAAGACAGAGGCGGCCCCCCGGAGCCCCCCGCCCGGCCGGCCCTCCCCGCCTCGGGCCCCTCGGAACGCGCAGGGTTAACGCCCGAGCCCCCTTGATCTTGATTAACTCAGCCGTCGCGCTGCTCCCCACCAGACGGGCGGGGGCCCTCCCACCCGTTGGTGTCTCCGTTTTAAGTGATTGGATTTCTTTAGGAATGTTATTTAAATTGACTTGGAACTGGGATCCGCTTACCATCTTTCTGGCAATCTTTCTGATTAAAAATGAATGATGGCCATTAAAGGCTAGTGCAGCCCCACTGCAGTCCTAGGGTTTGGGGGTGGGCACGGCCCCGAAATTCCCCTTTTAGAGTGCTCCTTCAGAACAGGCAGAGGGTTCCTTGGAGAGGCTCATTATTAGCTCACAGAAGTAGCCACAGGGACAGGGAAGTGCAGGTGACCAGAGTGGACCGAAGAGAGATGAGGGGTCGCGCATTCCTTTGGCCGCTCAACCTAGTAACCTTTGCTGCACAAAGGAGGCATTCTGTTGGGAGGAGCAAGGAAGCCCCTCCTGGAACACAACGTGTTTGTGAAATGTCAGAGAGGTGCGATACGTGCTTGGCACCGTTCCTAAGCACTGGTCTGTGCCGAAAGGGTCTTTTTCAAGGGTATTCTTGTTTGCAAAGTTTGACTTTAAAGGAAGACAGAGGAAGTCTGTGCCTCTGTTAAGCATGTAGGATAGAGTGTAGCTTGCTTGTCACCACTCTAGGGAAGCCCCTTAGCACACGGTGGAGGTGACTTGCCTTGAGCCCTGACTGGAAGACAGGTACAACTACTGGGTGGCAGAGTCAGCAGCTCCTTGGAGCTATGCCGTAGAAAAGCCAGGAGCTTGCCATTTCTATTATGGCATTTGGAGTAGGCCATCCTTCTCTCGCCCCTTTCACAAAAGACTCCTTGAAATACTAAAAGGAAAATTCCGTAGTCATCGTGAGAAAAGAGAAAAATATAGAGACATAAAAGATTGAACTGTAAGTCAGATAAAAGCAAGTATTTCTCTTCTCGTAGATCTCAACAGAGTAATGGACCAAGAAAGGGTAGAGGTGTGGTAATTGAGACAGGTCTTTGCCCAGACTCAATGAAAACATTTTTAATAATTTTGTTGCTGGATAGATCTTACTTTGCTCACCTTACAAAATGATGCTTTTTCCTTATGGAGAAGCCATTCTGAGTGTCACTCAGGGTACTTTGTGAGTTGGCCTGAACACAGGACACTTTTTCTGAGCTCTCCTGAAGCCACACATTTCTCTGGGCCACCATCTAGTTTCCTGAAGGGATGCTTGTGCTCTATTTGTAAAGCGGGATTCACAGCACTTTCAGGTTGTAGTAAAATAATGAGGGAAGGATTCATTTTAATCTGGTGCAAATTGTATTATTATTCGATTCATCTCTTTTGCTGAATATGCACTGAACATTTTCTATATTTAGGGAGCTCTGCTATATGCTCACCATAATAAAGGAAAACCTACTCCTTTACAGGTAGGTAAACAGAGTTCTGCACTCTCTGCTTCTACTAACTGGAGTAAGCAGAGATTCTACCAAGGGAATCAAAGGCAGTTTTCTCTTCCCTCATAATGTGTTCTTCCTTTCCCAAACACAAAATAAATTTATGAATTTCAAACCTTCTCAGGGCAATGCATGACTTCAGATGAACTTTGAGTATGAAACAAACAAACAAAATTACAAAGATTCCCTTGGATATATATTACCTATGTGTGTGTGTGTGTGTGTTTTTTTTTTTTTAAGGATTTCTGCCAACCTTAGTAGAAGCTGTTTCAAAGTAGAGAGAATTGTATGGCTGATGAAACACAGAAGAAAGTGCCCTGCTTATTGTTATTCTGAAATTACTTAACAGCAGCATTTCAATTATTTTGTTTGTTTCTGCATTGAACGGGTTAGAATTTATTTACAGAATGTTAGGTTAGAGTAGAAGAACACAGATCTGATATAAAACATTGAGCAGAAGTGCTTTTGTGAAAACAAAGGAAAGGATAAGGTCTATAAGGTGAGTGTGGAATGGATTTTTAAGTTTTTCTTTCCAAATTGATAGTCCCACAGTATCAACCATTAAAGCCCCTCTACAGAAACTGGCACCTCCTTATTCACTGACCTCTCAGTTTCACTTAATTCATTTTTATTTGCAGTGTAATTTATTGTATACAACCTTCTGAAGGGAAGAAAGAAACCCTATATCTTTAAAAGCCCTAGAAAAGCCTTGTCTTCATTACTCAGCATCTTTTTTTTTTTTTATCTAACATACAAGTGAATAGGGTAGATTTAGCTCCCAGAAACGTATACATCCAAGCCACTGAGTAAGAAAAATGGAATTTAATTATTTGTTTCATAAAAACATTCACGGTGCCTTTTGTTAAATATTGCAAATTTTGTTGATTGATGAATGCAAAAATATTGATGAATCCAAAAATATGGTTTCTTTGAATGTTACTTTGATAAAAATAAGAACATTAACAGCCTTATGTTGCTGTGGGGCTTGAATATTATTGTTTTAAAAATTTCCTGATTTATTTATACTTGCCCCAATCAGTAGTGAATTAGGCATATTTTTCAACTTTTTAGAACAGAAAAAGTGGACAGACCTTAGCAAAACTGGCTGCTGTTTCGCCTGTATCCCTGGGAGCTGTCCTGGTAGCTCATGAAAGGACTTAGTAGCTCCATCATGCCACCCTCTGTTCTATCACATGACACCAGTTCACAAGCAAGGGCTCTTTGACATCTCCTACATGAGCTCATACCTTCAAGCCTTCCTTTTTCAGGTCCTTTCTTCAAAGTGTCCAGACTTGGCAGTTGGGACCTTGTAAACAAGCCAGTCCGGAAGAACCTGTTATTCAGAATGTGCAAGATAGTTTGCTTACTCCTGAATTACTATTTCCTCACTCCTGAATTACTATTATAATTGATTTACTAACTCCCTTCATTTTATGGTCTCCCTTCATTTGCAATATGTCCTCCCAAAGCTACAGTAAATTACAGGTTTTATGTATATTTGTATAGATACACCTACTTAGAAATGATTTGTGATCTGGGATAATCTGCTTGGCGTTCTTTTCAGATCATATTTCTTTCATCACTCTTTCACTAAATATTTAATGAGGGCCCACTCTGAACTGGGCATTCTGCTCCACTCTGGGGATATTATGAAATCGAGCCTTTCCCTGTCCTCTGGGAGCTTATTGGTAGCGGAGGGGAGAACAACGGACATTAACCAAACAGCCAAAATAAAGAATTGATATTCCAGCGATTGATACTTATGACAGAGAAGTGCATGATGTTCTGTCTTTACACTGGCCCCGATCTGGAGTAGGGTGTTGGTGTTGGCTGGGAAGATCGCCTTAAGAAAGACCTCTCTGAAAAAGGATAACAAGGCCAAGAGGAAAAGAGTCTTCCAAGCAAAGATAGCTTAGAGACAAATCCCCAAGATGCAATGAACTTTCATATGTTGTCTCCTTTCCTTGGGACAAAATATGCATAATTTCTGCTTCAAGATTTTTGACTCTGCTTCTGGATTAGCTTTAGGTATCATTGGGCTACCCTTGCTGTCATCCAATATTTATTTTATTTTATGATTTTCAGCATTGGAGGTGAAACCAGGACCTTCACACTGAACTACACCCCCATCGGTTTTTTTTTTTTTTTTTTTTTTTTTTTTGACACAGTCTTGCAAAACTGCCCAAGCAAGTCTTAAATTTGTAGTTCTCCTGTCTCAGCTTCCCATAATGGTGGAACTACATGGGTACACCACCACCATCATGTTTGTCTCTCAGTTTTTAAACTAAGTGTAGTTCCCTACAGAAATCTTAACTGGTTTTGCATTTGTGGTCATCTTTGTTTTGATCCTTCTTGGTGTTCTCTTGGAGATGAGGGAAATTCCAGCAACGTTTTCTTTTCCTCCCGTCTTCACAATCCTGACTTGAAGTGGAATTCACATTTCTCCTTTCATGTCTAAGAATCTGAAGATTGTTAACAAAAGCTTCCTCAAGCCGCATGCTTGAAGCAGGAGAAGAATCAAAGTGAGATGCAGTGCCTCTTGTTCATATTAGGCACAAAAGGACATGGGAATATTTTCCCCAAGATTCGAGTCAGAAACAAAACGTTGAATAATTTCAGGCCCCTATGAAAATAATATCTACATTTACATTTGGCCCTTCAGCTTCTTGAAGAACTCATACGTGCATTTTTCTCTGTATGTCTGTGAGATGGGTTGAGGTTATTCTCCCTTTCATGCCTTTATCCAAATCACAGAGCGAATCTGTGACAGTGCTGAAACTGGAATTGAAGGCTTGTGAATCCAAGTCCCCTTCGAAAGGTTGATGGACAAGGCTGATCACTTCCCCTGGATTTGGACCAGGCCAACAGACTACACCTGGGGGAGGTGCTTGTTTTTGCTTTGAAGCTCCTGATGCATCCAGAAGCCAATTTATGAGAGTCAACCCAGGCTTGTCCTAACCACAAATATGAGATTCTTCTGAGGAAATGAAGCTTTCTGTCATTTATGACTACATTTCATAGTCCATCTATAGTGGTTTAGGTCATAATGTGATAGGCCAGGTATTTTTGTATGTATTTCTGGGAAAAAAGGTAAATTGCCTTCCTTCATTAAATTTAATTTTAACTATGAACTAAGTCACCTAATGTTCATCAATATAAATGATATATCCTTGCAAAAATAAGGACATACTGGGTTCTGAGGCAAATGAATACATAATATTAGCAATGACAGGCTTTTGTATTTAAATATTTGCTTGATAACAAT